TTTCAAACTTTTTAAATTCTAAGAAATCCAAGCCAAAATGGGGCATTTGTGTCCTCACTTGAATATTGGACAATGGAGGCCATATGATATGGCAAGTCATGAAAACTTAGGTTACTCCTTCCTTGGTCTAATGTACTCTCTACTTAGTACTGTCTCCTGCAACTCTCATTTATTAGGAATTTGTTTATCTGGTATTATGTAAGAAGTTTATTTGTTTACTAATTTAGTTTTTATCTTTCATCAGTGATTCTTATAGTGGTGTCTGTCTGTACAGCTACTGGTGCCTGGAACTGGTTGATAGATCCTGAGACACAAAAGGTAGAAGTAATTTGGTTTGGTTTGGTTTTTCAAAGAAAAATGCATAATGCTAATGAAGACTATTCTTTGTGTTCATTTACCAAAAGCAAACTATTTAGTAGCAGTTTTTACAAGGAAAAGCAAACTATGGTATTTTCATCTATGATTTTGCTTGATACAAAACCTTTTGCTCAGAATTTATAGCTGCAAGTTTATTGCCAGTAAGTGTTGTATGTTTTTCAATATAGCACCCTTATAAGAGTTTTTCAGTATAGCACCCTGTAAAAGTATTAATGTTTTTATTTTCACGATTTAAAAGATCTCTGGTTTTTCCTGTTGAGGCTACCTATGGAAGGTGTATCTATAACTTTTTAAGCAATATAAAAGGAAAATTTAGGGATACAGTCATAATTTTCTCATGTAAATGGAACCATAGAACCTTTATATAATTCAAGAGCTTACTTAATATGTGAGGTCATTAATTATGCCATCTGGGATAGAGACATAAAAAGAAGAGCAACTAGAGCTAGACAATTAGGACTGGGCCTTTTTATCAACAGAAACCTTACAGGGTCTAGTAATAATATCACAATTTCTACCATTCTTTGACATGAACCATCTTCTCCAGTAAGGCTAATCTCTCAAAATCCTATTAACATATTACATGCACAGTGGAAAGAGTGCTGGGTATGGAATCAGAGGATCTGGGTTCAAAAATCCTAGCTCTGTTACTTGAAGCCTATGTGACCTTGGGCAAGGCACTTAACATTTCAGGGACTCAGTTCCTCATCTATAAAATGAGAAAATTGGATTAGATGACTTCTAAGATCCCTTCCAGTTCTGAATTTATGATTCTATACCTTTACATTGAAATGACTTTTCTGCTCATCCTAAACCCCACAAGTTTTTCAGTTCTGGCACAAAAATCTACCTCTTCATTGAAGGCCACATTGTTGGTCTCCCTCTTCTCTGAATCCCTATACCACTAAGTTTTATGATTTAGCACTTATTTATGTACAGTCTTATATTGCTCACCCAATTTGTTTCCTGTTAGTTTAGTCTTCTCAAATAGATTTTAAGCTCTGTAATATAGGCTCCATGTTTTGCCCTTCTACTTAGCACTGGATAAATGTAAGTGTTTTTTAAATACCAATTAAATGCATATAGCGATAGTACAGATTATAGTGAATACTAGGGATAAGGTAATATTAGCAGGCTATATAAATGATGATAAATTTTGAATGCTTAACTAAATTTTTACACAGCATAGCAATAAAAGAAACTAGGATCATTGTAATTACTTTGTTAGCTTAGAAGATGAAAGGATTAAAAGGAATATATAGGTAAGAGTATAATTTAAACAATAACAGTATAATTTTGAAAATAATTTAAACTTTTTTGATATAGGTATCCTTCTTTACATCTTTATGGAATCATCCGTTTTTCACAATTAGCTGTATCACTCTAATAGGGTTGTTCTTTGCTGGAATACATAAAAGAGTGGTAGCACCATCAATGTATCTTTAAATGTGGCTGAATTTTATTTTGGAACCATTATTAAAATATTTCTGTCTGACTTTGTTTTTAATTTTCTCTAAATAATGGTATTTTCCTTTGACTACATATATGCAGTATAGCAGCCCGATGTCGAACTGTGTTAGCAGAATATAATATGTCTTGTGATGATGTAAGTAATTTTTTTACTTATATATCATACATGAAAGATTTTTTTCATGCAAAAGATATTTCCGTATTAGCCATGTTGTAAAAAAAAAAACCAAGAAAAATAAGGACGGTGAAAAAGAAGATGCTTCAGTCTACACTTAAGAGTTCATCAGTTATTTCTCTGGGATTAGACAACATTTTTTTATCATGAGTCCTTTGGATTTGATACATAATGTGAAATAATTGATCTCAGATTCAAAAGAATTTTAAAATATGGATAGCAACTTCATGTTTGGGATGGTGTATTTAAAACAGTAATGCAGTAGATGTTTATTTTATAGCTAGCATTAATTTTATTTCTATGTAATGGGGAAGGGAAAAAAGGTTTATAGGCAAATTTAAAGTACAAGTATGTTTATTTTGTTTCTTTTAAAATATTGCTTCTATGATAGTTTATAGTGGACTGAACTACTTTGCAAAATACCAGTATACCTTCAGATATTCAAAACTATTTCCAGTGTGATAGGAATTTAGGTCAAATGTATAGCTTTATTTGTATTCTGGAAAAATTTTTACATGGTGATGAACATAAAATATTCCTCACTATTCACAATAATTACATTTTATTTAACAGATCATTGATTTTCAGGTAGTCATTAAAAAGATTGTAGAAGAAAAGACATTTTTTTAAAACCCTTGTTATTGAAAACAAAATTAATTTCTAGGTCATGAATAACTACAGATGTTAGAAATTTTTTTTAACATGTATAAAGTTACTTTCTTCATAACAGAACACATGTTGAACTTTCTTTCCTTCTTTTTTTCCCCAGACAGGAAAGCTCATTTTGAAACCTAGGCCTCATGTTCAATGACGATCTCTGTATGTTATCATGGGACCTGAAATAGCCTTTCTTCAGATAAGTGATGCAGCGAAAAGCCATACAGGATTCCTTTTACAGTTACTTATATGAAAGTCTTAGCAACAATTGACAAGAAGTGTGCAATATTAACCCAGATTGTCTTGATGATTTCTCATGTTATCAGTGCTTTTGGTACTTTTTGATTACCTATATTTCAGTATTAGTGTCACTTTAGTACTTCATTATCTGCAACACTAATTGCAGATGAAGTATGTGTCTTGGTTACTAAGTTAAAGCTTAGAGACAGAACCTCATTCAGTTTTTATAATGTATTTTTGCAAACTACTGTAAATAGCAAATCAATGCCAGTGTTAAGCAAAGAGAAAACATGTTGTGTGGACCTTTGTTCTCCTGCACCAGTATTTAAGGAGCACCTACTTGCCATTCCCACAACTTTTTTATTAATAGTTACTGCATATGGCTGTATTGTTTATTCTCCCAGCTTATTCTTTAAATGGTATTGTAGGAAAGTAGATTAAAAAGCCCATCAAATTGAACTTAGGTTGAAGAAAGACTCATCTCCATTATGTTGTAAGAAATTACAGATATTTTGAGATAAATGTTTTGTTAAACTGTATACAAAACTTCAGCCACTATTGTGGTTTTTACTTACTGGTTCAATATTTTCATTTATTGTTCAATATACTTTATAAATATGTTTTTAAAATACTCATAAGAACACTTCATAGGTTTCTGAATATGAAAATTCAGTTACGAATTATGTAGTGTTTGGGAATTCAATAGCTGTATTGTTTTAGATAATTGGATTTTGTGCTGTGGTAGTCATAACATTACACTAGTATTGCAGATGTGTAATTTATGATCATATTCCACCATCTGAAAATGTAATACGTTAACAGTGCCACAAAATAGTCTACTATTCTCACAACTTAAAGAGTAAGTGCTAATGACATACCGTGTATGCAGAATAGCGATATGTACTATAATAGCCCATAGAATTAAACTACTGGGATTGCTACAAATATTTTAACATTCTGGAGGTGTCTTTTTACTTGTTATTATGAGAAGGTTTTGAAAAGGTTTAAATTATTTCATGAGCATCCTTTTAATTTCATTTAACAAAATACCTGAAGTTTCAGCAACAATTAAAAAAAACCTTTAATAAGGCTGCCATTCAGCTTAAAATTAATCTTCCAGCTTTCATGTATATAAAATGTTATTCTTTGATTGAACTACAGCAATAAAACTCTCAGCTCCTAAGAAGTCTGAGAGAATGTTGTCTATTCTCATGTTTCTACATTGTTTTATTTTCTGTAAATATTGTAGGTAAATATGTGCATAAAAATTAAACACTTTATATATATATATATATATATATATATATATAAACTGCTGGTTTTTCCTTGTATTAAAAATATATATATGAATATAGACATTAAAATATGAAAATAATTTGTCCAAACATTTATTAAAAAGATACATATTTTACTTGAACACTGTGACTAATAAACCAAATTCTAATTTTCAGTCTTAAATTTGCTCTTAATAAGGAAAATTGGATTTTATTACTGTCACTATAAAAACTTTATTCAGGTCTCTACTTTTTTTGCATCAGTTATTTAAAAAATTTATAGAATGCTTAAGCTAGATGAGAACTTAAAGATTATTTAATCTAGATCCATCAATTTACATATGAAGGAACTGAGTTCCAAACACTTTTAAGTAATGAACCCAAATTCACATAGTTGGAACTATAAGCATAGTCTCTTGGCTCTTTATTCATTACTCTTTCAAATATACCCACCCAGTCAATCAACCAGAATTTATTAAGTGCTTACTCTGGGCTGTGTTAAGTACTGGGAATACAAAGATAAAAGTAAATAGTCCCTGCCCTTAAGGAGCTTACATTCTAATGATGGAGAAAACATGTACGTATATAAGTATATCTGTAGGATAGGGGTTGGACCTATGATTTCATTGATCTGGGGAGTTCTTGGATGAGGAAACTCACTTTTATCTGTAGTTTCTTATCTTGAGAATTGCCCAGGTAACTAAGAGGTAAAGAGATTAACCAGGATCACACAGTCAGTATATGTCAGATGCAGGACTTCAGCCCAGGTCTTCCTGGCTCCAAGGCCGGGAAGGCAAAGGTGAGAAGGGAGTGCAGGGATGGCACAGCCAGTGCAAAGGTACAAATACAGGAGATGAAGTGTGTAGAATGGGAAGTAGGTTAGACTGGCTAGATGGGCAAGTATGTGGAAAAGAGTAAAGTGTACAAAGATTGGAAAGGTAGGAAGGACTTAAGCTATGAAGAGATTTAAGTGCCAGAGTTAAATTTGATACTAGAGGTAATCGGGAGTCAATGGAATTTGTTGAGTAGGGGGTAATATCAAACCTGTGGTTTAGGAAAATCACTTTGGCCGATGTGTGGAGAATGGATTGGAATGGAAAGATGCTTGTGATTGATAGGAACCAGATAGATGTCTGTTACATTAGCCCAGGTGATGAGCCTCAACTATTGGAGTAGGGGTGGGGGGAAGATAGAAGTCACAAGGTTTGGCAGCATACACAGAGAAAAAGGTAGAGTTGACATGAAGGTTGATAAGCTGGGTTCCTGGAAGAATGTTGATATCCTTTAAATCAATGGGAAAATTCAGGAAAAGGATAAGTTTTGAGGGAAAGATAATGAGTTCAGTTTTGGACATGTTGAATTGAGATGTTGAAGTTGAAATTTTCAAAAGGCAGTTGGTAATGTGGGACCAGAACTCAGAAGTGAAACTAGAGATGGATATTTACATCTCAGAGTCTTCTGCCTAGAGATCATTATTAAATGCATGGTAGCTGATAAAAATTACAAAATTAGAATATATTTAGAAAAAGAGAGTCCAGAACAGAACCATGGAGTATACTCATAATAGGCATGACATCTGTGATGACTGAGCAAAGGAGGTTGAGAAAGAGGAGCCAGACAAGAGAACCAGAACAAATCAATATTAGGAAAACCAGTCACTAGTGTCACATGCTGCTGAGGGCATGAAGAATGAGGATTGAGAGGTCATTTAGATTTGGCATTTAGTAGCTCACTGATGACTTTGGAGAAGTCACTTTGAGTTGTGAGGTTAGAAGGCAGAAAAGTTTGAGAGATGATTTTTTCAAGGATTATGGCTGAGAAGGAATATAGAAGGTGATAGCCGGGATGGTGCTGTCCATGAAGGAGACTGAAGCATGTTTGTAAGCAACAAAGAACCAGCAGATGGGAGGTTGAAGACTAGAGAGCAAGGTTGCTGGTGGGAGCAATCTGCTAGAAATGAGATGCATGAAGTCAAGGGTACATGTAGTGGAGTTGGTCTTTGGCAAGAAAAACATCAGTCTAAAGAAGGAAATGGTAGATTATGTCAAGAGTTTTTGAGATGAAGGAATTCTCAGCAACATGCCTGAATTTTTTTTTCCAGTAAATTGTGAGACAAGACCCACAGCTAAGAAGTTGGAGAAAGGGGTGCTAATGGAGTCTTGAGAGAAGAAGTTTGCAAAAGCTGTTCATAAGAGTGCAGGTGATTAAATTAGGAATAAAAGTTTGCCTTGCTTCAGTGAAGGGCAGTTGAAGTTAGGTAATATATGTAGTACCCCTACTATATATATTGGGCAACTACTCCAACTTGATACAGATTCTAAGTACTTTTTGAATGTATATTCCTAAAGCCATAGTTTAGAAGCCCTCATAAGTATACTTATCTTTAATAGTAGACATTAGCTCAAAGCATTTACTGAGGTGTCAGCATGAACAACAGTAACAAAATGTCCCCCCTATAAACTTGGGACACATCCATAATTACAAAGTCTGCAGGAAAAATAAGTACACATGTAGAGTACACTCGTACCCCTGTCTGTGGCACTGCATGACCCCAATATTCTTTCTCTTCATGATGTCCTAAAGCTGCTTTCCTCTGAGCATAGCACCTCTTCTAGACCAATTGCTTAGCTAGGCTTTCTTGACCTGCTTCTCTTAATAGCCCAACTCCCCAACTTTGGAGCTGTCTCCAGAATACATAGAAGGCACTCATCTGAACTGCTTGGGATCACCCTCCTCAGATCTTTCTACACTGACTGACTCCTTGACTTCTAAGACCTGCTGTCTGCTGGGTATTGCGTCTCCTACTAGAAAAGCAGCTCCACTGAGGGTGTGGTAGAGATACATTCTGTCTCCCCACCCCCACCTTTCATCCCCCAGTCCCCTAGCCAGTACTTTATGGTAAAAGTTCAAAGAGAATGTCAAAGAACAATTTGCTTCCTAACTTAACTGACTACAAAGCTACCAAGCTACCTTTTTAGAGACCACCTGAGGCATGGCCATTATTTTTACAACCAAAGGCAAGCTACCCTACAATTCCAGAGGTCTTAGAGGTAGCAGAATTAGATAGAGAGTCTAAGTGTAATTCTATTATATTTCAATGCTCTCAAAAGAAGAATAGAAAGGGTGGGGAAGAAGAATATGTGGGCCAAGGGGGGGTAAGGGAAAGGAAGAATGGGAAAAATTATGTCACATAAACAGGATGCACAAGTAGAAGTCTATACAACATGGAGGAAGGAATGAAGAAGAGTGAGTGATACCTGAACCTTATTCTTATCTGAACTAGTCAAAGGAGGGAAGGATGCACATCCACATATGTAACTGCATGCACAAATATATTTTAACCAATACAGAAATGGGAGGGAAGGAAGTTAAGAGAAATAAGGGAATAAATTGGGAGGGTAGATTAAGGACAGCAATAGTCAGAAGCAAAACAAAGTCTTAAAGGGAGGTGAGAAACAGAAGGAAAAGTATAAGAAGATGGAAAGAAATGCACAATTAGCAAGCATAATGTGAATGTGAATGGGATGAACTCATCCATAAAATGGGAGAAGATAGAAGAACGGTTTAGAATTTAGAATCCAACAACATATTGTTTACAAGAAACACATTAGAAACAAATATACATAGAGAATTAAAATAAGGAGCTGGGACAGAATCTGTTATTCTTTAGCAGCAGTAAAAAAAAAATAAAGGTAGGGGTGGCAGTCATGATCTCAGACAAAGTAGCAGCAAAAATGAACCTAATTAAAAGAGATGAACAGGGAAACTACATTTTGATAAAAGGTAGCATAAACAATGAATTAATATGAACACTAAATATTTATGGACCATACCCTTTGACTCAGGATTAAACTAGTAGGTCTATACCCAAAGAGATCAAAGGGTCAAAGGAAAATGAAAAGACCTCACGTATTTGTTGTTGTTTAGTTGTTTCAGTCATGTCTGACTCTTCCTGGCCCCATTTGGGGTTTTCTCGGCAAAGATACTGAAATGCTTTGTCATTTCCTTCTCCAGCTCATTTTACAAATGAGGAAACTGAGGCAAACAGGGTTAAGTGATTTGCCCACAGTTAAGTGTCTAAGGCTGGATCTGAACTCACAAAGATGAGTCTTCCTGACTGCAGGCCTGGTGCTCTATTTAATAATATCAAATTATTTTTAAAAGTACAAAAAAATTAATGATATCAAAAAATTTCAAATATATTTATAGCTGCTCTTTTTGTGACAGCAAAGACTTGGAAAATGATCTGCTCACTCTTTGTGAGGATATCAATCTTTTGGGAAATGGCTGAACAAATAATGGTATATGAATATGATGGAATATTATTGTGTCATAAGAAATTATGAAGGGGATGGTTTCAAAGAAACCTGGAAAAACTTGTATGAACTGATGGAAAGTGAAGTAAGCAGAACCAAGAGAATAATTTATACAATAACAACAATATTGTAAAGATAATGAACTTAAAAATATTTAGTGGAGAAGATTCTGGGAAGATGGCACAGTAGGTCAGAAAATTCCAAGCTCTCCAGATTTCTCCCACAAACAAGACAAAATAGTGCCTCAGGGCAAACATAGAGCAATAAAAATAAACAAAGAGTTGAAACAAACCCTTGTCCTCCTGAGACAACCAGATAAGATCTGAAGAAAAATCCCAGGCCTGAGGTTTGGTCTCTATAAAGTATAAACATCTCCAGGCTAGTTCTTTTATTTTTAGGCAATTGGGGTTAAGTGACTTGCCCAGGGTCACACAGCTAGTAAGTGTCAAGTGTTTTGTTTGGTCTGAGGCTGGATTTGAACTCAGGTCCTCCTGACTTCAGGGCTAGTAGTGCTCTATCCACTGCAGCCACCTAGCTGTCCCAGGCTAGTTCTGCTGAAACAAGTGGTAAGCCCTGGGGCTAGCTGGGTTGGGAGGTAGCCTCAGGCCCCAGCCATAGGAATTTTCACCTTTTGGCCAGTGTGGGGAATCAGATGTCTCAGTGGGGGAAGATTGAGGGAACCTCTGATGATAAGGAGCACCAGGCCCATCTTTGCTGCCAAGATGCAGCCCCGGACAAGAAGGGACCAACACATTCCTACCAGGTAAGTGCAGAAAAAGTGGGGTGGGGACACAGCTGGCTGTGGGTACTTACAGGAGGGCGGAGTTCTTGGTTTCAGTTTCAGGCTACAAGGGAGAACTGAAGGAGGATCTAAGGACAGAGGCACCATCCCCCACACCCCAGGACTAGAGGTGATTGCAATAATAAGCTTCTACAAATTTTAAAAAATGAGCAGGCAAAGGAGAAAGAACCCAACTATAAAAAGTTATTATGGGAATAAGAAGACTGGAGTTTGTCTTCAGAGGAGGATACTGAAGCAAAAAAAAGCCTCTTCTACCCCAAGGAATAACATCAGCTGGTCACCTGCCCAAAAAGAATCCATAGAAGAACTTAAGAAAGACTTTAAAAATCAAATGAGAGAGACTGAGGAAAAAATTTTTTAAAAAACCAAGAACAAGAAAAACAAGATTATGAAAAGAAAGTCACCCAACAGGAAAAGGAGATCCAGAATCTTTTTTTTTTTATTAATTTGATTTGATCTATCAACAATCACTTCCATAAGCTTTTGAGTTTTAAATTTTTCTCAGATGTAGGCTATATATATACATTCCTATTAAATATATTTTCACATTAGTGATGTTGAAAATAAGAATTAGAACCAATAGGAGGAACCACCAGAAGGAGGAAACAAAATACAACAGAAGGAAAAGAAATAGTATGCTTGGATCTGCATTCAAACTCCACAGTTCTTTCTTTAGATGTGGATAGCATTTTCCATCATGAAGCCTTTGGAGATGCCTTAGTTCCTTGTATTGCTGAGAAGGGTTAAGTCTATCCATAGTAGTATCTAAGATTATGTTATTCTCTTCTTGAGCCAAATCTGATGAGAGTAAGGTTCAAACAATGCTCATCTCCCTTCCTTCTTTCCCTCTGCTATAATAGGTTTTTGTGCCTTTTTCTGTGATGTAATTTACCTTTGTCTGCCTCCTCCTTTCCTTTTCTCTCAGTATATTTTCTTACATCAGATTAATCCACTTACTTGAATCCATTTAACCCACTTAATTAGATTTTTTTTGTCATTACATCAAAGTCAACTTATACCCACCCACTTTATGTATACCCCTTTAACATGGTGTAATAACAATACAGTTCTCAAGTGTCATCTTCCCTTGCAGGGATGTAAACAGTTTGGCCTTTTTAATAACATGTTGTTTCTTTTTGTCTTGTGTACCTTTTTATGTCTCTCTTGAGTTTTGTATTTGAAGATCAACTTTTCTGTTGAGCTCTGGTCTTTTTATCAGGAAGGTTTGGAAGTCCCCTATTTCATTGAATATCCATCACCTCCCCTGAAAGATCATGCTTATTTTCTCTGGGTAGTTGATCCTTGGTTGTAATCCAAGCTCCTTTCCCTTACAGAATATTATATTCCACACCCTACAGCCTTTTAATTTAGAAGCTGCAAGGTCTTGTGTAATCCTGACTGTGGTTCCATGATATTAAAATTGTTTCTTTCTGGCTGCTTGCAGCATTTTCTCTTTGACCTGGTAATTTTGGAATTTGGCTACTATGTTCCTTGGTGTTTTCAATTTGGGATCTCTTTCAGGAGGTGATTGGTGGATTCTTTCTGTGACTATTTTACCCTCTCGTTTTAGGATCTCAGGGCAGGTGTTTTTTTTTGTTTTTTTTTGTTTTTTTGGTTAGGCAATGGGGTTAAGTGACTTGCCCAGGTTCACACAGCTAGTAAGTGTTATGTATCTGAGGCCAGATTTAAACTCAGGTCCTCCTGAATCCAGGGCCGGTGCTCTATTCACTGCGCCACCTAGCTGCCCCTCAGGGCAGTTTTCCTTTATGATTTCCTGAAAGATACTGTCCAGGCTCTTTTTTTCCATTGTGATTTTCAGGTAGACCAACAATTTTTTTAATTTTTTTTATTTTTCCACAAGGTTTTGAGTTCCAAATTTCTCACCCCTCCCCCCACCCCAAGATGGCATGCATTCTGAATACCCCTTCCCCTGGTCTGCCTTCTCTTCTATCTCTCCCTCCTCCCTTCTCTTATCCCCTTCCCCTTCTATTTTCCTGTAGAGCAGGATAGACTTCTGTACCCCATTTCCTGTATTTCTTATTTCCCAGTTGCATGTGAAAACATTTTTTTTAAAACATGTGT